ACCATGTTCACTATTTCAATGAATCCAGTTTTCTGCTGCGAGGGCGCGCCTTTGCAACATCGTGCTTGTTGCAGCGAATATTTGTCTCGGTCAAAACTACTGTCCGCATTTGCTGCGTTTATTTGTCGGCAAGTTTCACGCAGCTGTCTACCAAATGCAAGGAGGAAAGCCGCCAGCCATTGAGGCTCATGATGTGATGAAAGACTCAGAAAGCTCACGCTTCATTGCTTTTCATGATGTCACCCGATTTCTTTTCGCATGCCGTAGCACAGACGTACAACAGAGCGCAGCGAATTGGTACACGGTGGCAACTTTCGGCCATGGCGCTGAAGGTGCAAAGCTCGGAAGATGCTGTTCTTTTGACATGTATTTGCTTTGACTGTTTGACTTGCTCAGGTGCCTGTTCTAGACTTGAGGGATGGCAAGCCGGCAGCCTACGTGAATTGACCGGACTCCGCAGAACGGCTTTGCGTAGCAAAGCCTTTGCGATGTGAGCCGGTGCAGCCTGAGGTAAAACGATGCTTGGAAGACATGTTCTGTTGTTTGAGAGATCTAGATAAGGTCAATGCCAATTCTCGGTTTCGGCTGCTACAAAGTCGGAGCTTGGGACTCAAGTCTCGACTGTCAGTTAAGTGCTCCTTCAGTTGACCGTGGCTCAAGAGGTGATTCCGGGCTCTGCAGCCGGGGCTGCGGATGCGCCAAAGCCTGCTCCAGCAAAGGGTGTGCTGCCCTTGTCCTGCACAGTTTTGTGATAAAGCGGCGGGAACATGTGTGTTGCAGAGCAAGGTCATTGCTGATGCCCTTGGCGCTGGCTATAGATGTTTTGACTGTGCGCAGTTCTATGAGAACGAGGACAGGCAGGCATAGTGCCGGAGCCTTGCTCGATGATTTTGATCCAGGAGATCATTGGAGAAGCATTTCAGGCTGTGGCATCTTGGCTAAGTCCAAGTGAAATTGCGTGTAGCCACAGGCCGCAGGTATTCCAAGAGAAGAACTGTACATCATTTCGAAGGCAGGTGCTGGGAAACTTCACGGCCAGGCTAGACATGTCGGCATGCTGCAGGTCTGGACCAACAAGATCTACGATGGTCCACAGGCAGTGCTAGCCCCAATTCTGCCAGGTTGTGGCACTCTGGCTTTATGAAAGCTTGCGCTCAAAGGTAAGGGACCAGTGTCTCAAGACCATCAAGGCCAGGTGAATTGAGTGTAAAAGTCTGTTTGCCACCGTTGGGACAGATATTGGATCCTGAAGGACTTAGGTTGCGGTGTTCTGGATCTCTACATGATACACTGGCCCGTTCCTGGCAAGCACGTCGCCGCTTACAAGGCGCAACTTTCTGAAGCTAAGCGGAGCCAGCAGTCGGCTGCATCCAGTCATGCGAACTTCATGCGAGTCAATCTGCTGCCAGGAGTTAGTTGCTTTGCAGGCAGAGGCCTCCAAGCAAGAGAAAGAAGCAGTGGGATTGTCATGTCTTGTCATGTCTGCCGCCTGCAGGGCTTAATCAAGTCCATTGGTGTCTCGAACTACACTGTTGAGGTGCCAGAACTGGTGAGGAAGAGATAGGAAGAGAGTGTTTTGGTTTTGGCTTTGCGAGGACTTGGCGGAGCTGCAGGCCGCCGGGCTTCCGCTTCCGACCGTCAATCAAATCGAGCGAAGCGCCCAGTAGGTTGAGCAGAAGTTTTGCTTTGGGCTGCGCATCAAGTCAGCTGAGCTCCTGAGGATTAATCCGTTCCTGTATAGGAAGAAGCCTGGGCCCCAGAGATGCCCAGAGCTTGCTGGCAGCTTCAACCCGATCAACACTAATATCTGTGAGGACCATCGCTCACTGCGAGGGATTGGGAATCCGAATGCAGGCAGAGGGCAGAGGGCAGAGCCGGGCTCATCCGGGCTCCGGGGATCTCCAGAGCGCCGCTTCGCTTCGCTTTGATCCCTCCGCCCTTGGATCCTCCGCTTTGAAAACCCGTCTGTGTTTCTCCTGCAGGCATACCGGGCACTCTGCAACTTTGGCAAAACCTCCTCATTGGAGAGTGAGGCCAGGACTGTAAGTAAACTTGCTAGGGCTTCTGCAGCTCTTGGTGTGCATCCGAGGTCGTTGGTGCTCTGGCTGCTAAGCATGGACGAAGCGCATCCCAAATCCTCGGAAGATGGCACGAAGCTCAGCTTGTGCTAGCAGCACTGCATGGTGGCCGATGGAGTTGCAGGTGCACGCAAAAAGGCTTCCAGCACATACCCAAAAGCGAAAAGCGCTCCAGGCTTCGAGTGTCAGATCACGAGCTGTGCTCTCCACCCTCTTTGTGCACAAGGATGGAAGAGAACGCTCGCCTCTTCGATTTCGCTCTAGATGCAGAGGACGGTCTGCGGCAATTCACCTGTGCTAAGAGTCGCGCAAACAGCTCAGGACATGGAGAAGCTGGAGAACCTCACGACGCCAGCAGCTCTGGAGACCTACAAGCCAGCTCCTAATTTGCATCCTTTCTACATGAGCGGCAACACAGGCCGAAGACAAGAGAGCCAATATGCTTGTTGTGGAATCGCTCAACTGGAAATATCTCCCTGTGGTTCAGGTCATCCTACCTCAAGGGAATTGTCCGAGACACGCCTTTGCAGGCGGTGGCAATGCGTGTCGCTGTTACTTTGTTGTGCCATCCCATGGCAAGGGCATCTCCACTTGGAGGTTCATGTGGGTTAGGAAGCGTTAATCATCGGGTCCCAGTCCTAATGTGGAGAGCTCCTGTCAGCAGCCACTAGAACCTCCAAGTATGCTACGGATCAGGCCACTGCGGAGGGCGTTCGCTTGGATTTCACCCTTGACTGAGGGCTCTCCTCTAAATTTTCGGTGAAGCATAGAAAAAGGATTCTGCTGCTCTTTGTAGGTCATGAAGATACGGAAGAAGGGTTCGGCTGTGAAAGAGAAACGAAAGCAGCCTGCAGCATTGTAATATGTACTGAAATTCCTTTTGATACTCGGCTCAAGCACCTGGCCCTGCCACGTGGCCTTGGGGGTTACTTGTCGGCTGCCTCAGCACATAGACTGCCACAGATGCCCTTAGGTTTCCCAGAGACTAGGATTCCACAGCTCGCGCGACTTAGGCACAACGTCGCTGGGACTCTGCAGGTGGCAGGGGGCCGGACTTCCAACATGACGGAGAAGGACCGCTAGAACCTCCACATACGGGGAATGCCAGCCCAGTGCAAGACAGCTGCCGAGAGACAACCGTAGCCTGTACAGGAATTGGATTTGTCCGGCGAAAAGCTAGCACCACGCCGAGCAATAGACGATGCTTTTGAATCATTGTTCGATTGTTCGTTCCCAAGCTCACGCTCACTGCCCAGTCCGTCAGCGACTTCAGTCTCGGGAAAACGCTGGGAACTGGAGCTTTTGGACGGGTCAGGCGGGTTCACGCATCCCAGTTTCCGTTGCAAGCCGGTGTCTATGCCTGGACAATTGAATCGGCAACCCGTGTACTGCAGGTTTGTGACGCATAAGAGCAGTGGAAGACACTATGCCTTGAAGACGCTGAAAAAAGCCGCTATCATCAAGATGAAGCAGGCGCAGCCTCTTCTGCAGTGAGCGGTGCCATGCGATGGCGTGCTAGAGTGGTGTTTCAAATCCATCGTCTTGAAGGTGGACCACATCATGAGCGAGAAGCAGATCCTGGCCAAGCTCCAGCATCCTTTCATCGTGAACATGTCCCATGCTTGCTGAAACTGTGAAGCTGTGCTAGCTGTGCTTGTGCTGTATGCCCCTCTGTCTTCCTCTGTTACCATGCCAGCTGTACAGGTTTGGCTCGTTCCACGATCCTCGCTACATCTACATGGTCCTGGAGCCGGCATCTTAAGACTGAACAACTAGCTTGTGTCAAAACCACCCTCAGTGGTTTCAGTGCGTACGGAAGTGCCATATTCCCAGGTATATCGTTGGAGGTGAGTTCTTCACCCACCTTCGAAAGGCCAGCAATCGCAGCACACTTTGCGCAATTCAAGCAATGTGAGAACCCTCTTTGCCAGGCTGGGCGTTTTGACAACGAGCAGTCGCTTTTCTACGCAGCACAGATTACATGCATCTTTGAGTGCGCCAGACTCCCCGAGCATTTGCCAATGGGTACGCCATGTAGAGCTGCCTATGCTCTACTATATGCGTTGCAGGTATTGCCACGAGCTGAACATCGTTTACCGCGATCTGAAGCCAGAGAACATTCTGATCAATGCGGACGGCAGCGCGCTTATGAGGGCAGGTGAAAGGCAAACGGGGAGGTTGCAGCAGCTGCAGCTGCCACTGGGTACTCTTAGGATATGTGAAGCTTACGGACTTCGGCTTTGCCAAAGTTATCGAGTCGGAAGCTCAATGGTAAACTGACTTGATGCAGATTCTGGGAGTACAACATTGCAACCCAGGCATCGCACATACACCCTCTGCGGAACGCCAGAGTACATTGCACCGGAAGTCCTGCTCAACAAGGGGCTGGGAACCTAAGTCGCTCTTGTCTCTTTGCACGCTTATTGTCCGCTGGATGTCAAGTCTCGCAACTCTATGCAAGGCATGGCAAGCCCGTGGACTGGTGGACACTAGGTGAGCCTGGTGGAGCTTTGTGCGTTGCAGTCTAGCCTAGTACCATCCGGTGTCTGATTGCAGACTTAGACCTGTAGCAAGCGCAGGCATCCTGATCTATGAGATGATTGTCGGCTATCCTCCTTTCGTGGATGAGGATCCGCCAGCATCTTATGAATTGATACGAATTGTGTGAGCTGTACTGTGCACAAGGCATTCCCTAAATTTCCAATCAAATACGTTCCATGTACCAAGGATGGGCATCTACCAGAAGATCCTGGCGGCAGACCTAGTTTTCATGACGTGACTGGAATCCTACTTATCGGATTTGCTTGAATGAATGGGCACTGAAGTCTCAATGTTTGTCAATGCAAGCGGCTGCGAGCAGTGTTGTGATAGCACTGATGCCAATATGCCATAGGATGCAAGATATCCACTTGTGGTCCAGCACTGCATAGTTAACTCCTGACAAGGCTGGCAAGATTACCTTTCCCAAGATTTTCCACAAGGAGGCCGCTTGATTAGGGCTTTCGCAGATCTTCTTGCCAAGGTCTCTCCTGGCACATGTACACGTTTGATATCGCATATCCTGCCTCCAGGCGAAAAGCTTGGTAAAGAAGCTGCTCACACCCGACCTAGGCGTGCCAATGTGAAAAAGCGCGAGCTTTTTGCTGCTAATGCTGCACAAGCTGCACAACCATGCAAGGCAAGCGCTTCGGCAACTTGAAGAACGGCGCAGCGGACATCAAAGAGCACAAGTGGTTCAAGGCCTCTCGTCCCTTTCATGGCTGTGCTCTGGTTGACAGGTCCCTGGCAGGATGCTTCAGCTGCTTGAGAACTCTTTTGAAGCTTTATGGAAGCATCTGTCTTGAGAGCGGAGGGCGGAGGGAGGCGAGCGAGGGTGCCTTGGGGGCAGGAAACATGGCAAGGTTTGGATTCGGATAGTGTTTGCTTGCTGCAGTCGTCATGACTTTGGTATTGGCTTGGGGTTGTGATACATAGTTCCAATATGTTCCAATTGTTGGCCGCTGAGAACTAGACTCTTCTCAGCTTGCTGTTTCCATGGACTGGGCATGATGGGGCTTTTCTGGAAGCTTATAAAGGGGCCTCAACTGGGTAGGACCTCAGCTGGGATGACCTGCTGGCGAAGAAGATTGAGGCACCTTTCAAGCGGGCAGCCCAGTCTGTTTGAGGGCATTTCAGGAAATTGCAGCTCGTAGTCACGCAAGTTGTGCAACTGCGCGTTTATGACTTCTCGCTTGAACTGAGGCCTGCTGTGAAGGGCGCCACAGACACAAGCAACTTCGACGACTATCCGGATTCGGACCAAGAGCCTCCTGCAGTCAATGCGCAGGGAGCTCGCTCTGAGATGTTTCACATCCAGATATCTTACGGGATTTCCAAGATGCTGTGCACCTGTTGCCGCCCAGGTCTCAAGATCCATTCACCAACTGGTGATTACGGAGCAAATGAGATGGAATTGAGACTGGCAACTTACGCATTCAAAGCGTGCGAGGTTGTTGTATCCAGAACTGATGAGGAAGTGTGCTCTGCAATGAGCGCAAGCCTTCTTGGCAGGTCCAGAGACCAATTCTCTGTACAATATCTATGTAAAACTAATTTCTAGCTCCGAGCACATATTTACGACTCTTCTGCACACCAGCAGCTGAACCAGCAAAACGACAAATCTTGCCTTGTCATTCAAATGGCGTTGAACCCAGCTGGATAGCCAATTTGCTGCCGCCGAATGGAGGCTGGACCTTTGGGTCCGGCCCTGCACAGCTGTACAATTTCCCTTGCCTGCAGTGCCATTGGACCTCTATGGTCCTGGAATCTCTTACCCTGGTGGTTTAAGCATTGCGTCGGGCCGTATACGGAAGTTTCACTCCTTGGGTGCTGCATTGTACTGTGAACCAATGACACAACGCTTCGAGGGACATCCGACCAAAGAGATGCTGCCAGCTTGTCAAGTTCTCTTCTGTGCAGGGAAGTGAAGAGCTAAGTAGACAGAAGGCGTGCCTGACTCAGGCCTCCATGCTTGTCATCCTAGACTGTCAAGGGCTGCTGCGACCATGGCAGCTGCAGAGCAATGTATTGTGCTCAAGGCAATCTGAAACGTGGCATCCGCTGGCCTGTCAGACGCATGATCATTTACCAGCTGGTCAGCTAGTTAAACATCACCATCCAAAGTTTCAACCACGCAGACCAAGCATCATCGCATGGCCACAGTGCCGGGCAAGCCTCCCAAGCTGCCCCAGCGAGAAGCCCGTGCGCTGCCAAGCCTGGCAATCGTGCTTGTGAGGTGCACATGAGAGCTTGTTGAACCTGATTGGAGAGCTTCAGGCACGCTGCCTCCATTCCCGGGACGACCTGAAAGGTGCCCGCACTTGGTCGCATAGATTTATCACACACTATTGCATCAAGGACTCCAGCCCGTGAGGAGGCAGACCTATCCAGAAGCTCAGCTGTGCTTCTCGCGTGACCCTGTTGCAATGCAGAAGCCGTCTCGGCAGGCCCTGCCGAGTGGTGGGACAGAAGGTCCGCCACAACCGCCTGCACCGGACGCATCACTGCCACCACCCCCAAGCTTAGGCCATCAGGGCAAAAGTTGTTCTTTTTCACTGTGAGCTGCAGAAGCTCTCTGGAGCAGACTTTCATTGGCGACATGGCCGCAGCAGCCGCAGCCTGTCCCCGCACAACAAGCACCCATCTGATTCGGCCTCTGCAGCCAGCTGAGCTTGCGCTTTTGTCTCCGCAATGTTTGTTTTTGCCCCGCCACTTGTGTTCATGCAAGTTATCGCCGAGCCGTGCACTGCATGCTGGAGAACTGCAGGTGGGGCTGCACTTTTCGTGAGGCTTTGCGAGCTGTGCATAGATGGATGACATGATTTCAGACCGGCAACCTGGCGAAGCGGCAAGTCTCCATGCCCATCATCCGAAACGTCCCCAGCTTTGAGCGGCCGCGGGTCTTGCCGGCGCTCCTTGAAGAGATTTCTACACAGTGCCCAAACTGCACGATGAAGCCGTTGTGGCTTATGGGCTTTGTATTTCATACACAAGGTCTTTGAACAGACAGGGTCCAATCAGACAGCCTAAGTCATTGTGCAGCACGGTGAGCCTGAGCAAGTATGCCTGAGGAGGCGTGTGCCGCCAACCAGCATTGGTTTTGCCAGAGCACTGGTGGCCTTCGCACAAAGGGCCACACATAACCGACTTACCAGACTCAATGAGCACGTGACGACGCACATTCCAGATCAACGGCCAAGTACGACTGAGCTGCATGCAGATGAAAACCAGTAGACTCGATCAGGGCAGCCATAGCTGCAATGACATCTCCGGTTGCCTTCGGCAACTTCTGCGAGGTGCCATCTCTTCCTTTTCTCTTTAGATGACTCCGCATGTTAAGTTTTGAGAACGATGACCTACACGAAGACTCGAAAGATATTGAAGGCTGGAGCAGTTGCTTTGGCTTCTCTGACCAGGCCATCACTCCAGAGCCTTTGAAGTTCACAAGACCTCCTATTTGGAGCTCTGCAGTCCAAGCCTTGGAAACCTTTCCGAACCACCTGAGACTTTGACTGACAAAGGCTGCAGCGGTGGCAGCTTCAAACGCAGCTGCTGCTGTGCACTCCTCGGGGGCGTGGTTTCTCGAGCGCAAGCTTCCTGTGGTAAACTTAGGCAGGCACTCCGTTGTCTGATGCCAAAGTAAGAGAGGACATGTGGCGCAGGCAAGCAGCGCGTCGTTCAGCTTCACACAAGAACTTGGCATCAGCACGAATGAAGGCTGGTTCACAGACCTCTGCCTCCAGCGCCCTGCTCTCCAGCTCAGTGTGTTAAGCTTACACGTTTATTTTGCTTGCTCGAATGATGTCGTTGGCTGTCTTCCAGACAGGGATCCCAAGGTGCAACTGGAAGTGCCGCAAGCTCACCTGGTTGGACCTCCGAGGCTGACCAGCCTGGCACAGCCTTGTGTGCATCGGAGCGCTTAAAAAAGCTGACGTCAGGACGCCGACCTGCCCTCATCGTATTCTCGCATTTGTGGTCACGGCGAGCCTGAAAGCAGTCCCAAGGTCCTGCAAGCTCTTGCAACCACCCTTGAGCAATATCATGCAGATTATCCTGCAGATTTACTTTGACTGCCAGATGCGTGGCCTAGCTGCCCCGCTTGAGTGTGTGGAGCTGAGATGAGCTGAGTCAAGGGTTTCCAAGTTTCCTTCTTTACATCTGGTGCAAGTCTTCTGAAGGTGAACGTGAACAGGATCCTGCTGATCACCTCAGGCACTGCTATTGTAAGAGGAAGTTAGCTCTGGCCTCAAGCATTGTTCCAAGGCGGCCACTGTTCCACAGCCCTTCGATGCGAGGAGAGGGCTCATGCATGCTTTGGATTTTCTTGTTGGTGAGCACCAGATATGCTATCAATCATTAAGATCCCATGTCGCCCCTACTTCTTCAAGCTGCGCGCAGCGCAGCCGTTACCTCGTCTATGTTTCGTTCTCACAATCAATCGTGGCAAAGAGGCCGGGGACCTTGCTCTCTAAAGAGGCACCCGGAGTCAGGCTGGAGGAGGAGTAGCAGGAGGAGGGCCGCATGACCAGCTACGCCATCAGCAGCATTCCCTGGAATGCAGCGCAACACACACAACCCGAAAAGGCCTGGCAACGATAAGATGGATAAGATCTCTTCAAATAGGGAGTGGGAAGATTGCCTTCTTTGCCACCATGTTTTCTGGCTGCAAAGTTGTTCTTGCTCAGTTCTCACTTGCACCCTGCCGCAAGCATTACCATGTAGACACTTGTCCACACTCATTGTGCCCCTTTTGCGCAGCTGTGTCCTGTACTGTATCGTCTCCCTGTATGCGTGGCTTGAGCGGGCCAGTCCTGTTCCTTCGCTTACACGCTTGCGTAGCCCGGACTGGTTCAAGAATATTCAAGATATGATTGCTGCGTTGCGCCGGTTGCGTTACGTGAGTGTTCTACTGCTGAAAAGCAGGAGCTGTTTTGCCTTGATATTCTCCTGCCTGAATGGTTCAAGCATCTTCCAAAACATGGAGCAACACCTATAGCGAATGACAGCTTTGTCCTCGGTGTTGAGCATGCACCTACAACCTCTCTCGCACAAACAGCTCGTGGGGCATCAACGACAACTTGAGTTTGCTGAGACAGGTTTGGTTGGACACACCTAGGCATGCCATGCCTAAGGCAGCATACGCAAAGCACGCCAGAGCACACAAGAAAATACCTCGTGAACTGCAAGCTTTTTAGATGAGCGCTGACGATGGTGCAGGACGGCCTCATCAGTAAATGGCTGACAAGAGATGGACAGTTTGTGGGTCACTGCGCCCATGCCAGGTTGCAGGCAGCGCAGCTCAGGCAGCCGCTGCGGCAGCGGCCGAACGCCTGAAGACCATTCAGGAGGGCTTGAAGCCAGGGGGAGGGCTCAATGAAAAGGCTTCTGTCTGACGCCTTGGCTGACAGGACAATGCAGGTGGACAGACGCCGCTTCAGAAGAAGTACTTCAGTGCGGACATGATGTCCAGGCTCGTGAGTTTACAGCTTGTGAAAGTTCACGCAGAGATGCGAAGAGACGGTGCCGTTCATGCCAGATACGAAGCGCTTGCAGACTCCATGGCCAAAGTTGATGCCCAGGACTGTTGTTGTCAGCGCTGACCAACATGCCCTGGCTCTTTTGTAAGCGGTTTCGCAGTCACAGGAGCAAACAGGCGATGCGGATCCAGATTCGCTGGCCCGATTGGAAGATCACTGGCTCCGCTTCATGGTCAACGGCTCAGCATCGTTGGGCATTTGGTCATACTTCACTCGCAGATCCGTACCAAGGACTTCACCTGGGCGAGCCAGTGGCCTGCTGAAATGGGCAAAGCAGAGAGGGCAGCCTCGTGTTTCAGCTTGCCCAAGGTGGGATGGCAAGCGCTTTGACATCGTCTTCTACGGAGCCTCCGGCTACCAGGGCTATCTGATGATGCAGTGCCCTGAAGTGTTGGTAGCTTGAAGCGCAGACCGTCTGGACTTCGAAAGGTACCTCAAGCGAAGCGCACTGCAGCCGAACCGGCAGCAGTTTACTTTTGCTTTGGCGGGACGATCTGCCACCAAGGCCTGCAGCTGCATCATGATGTTGTGACAAATCAACAGAAGTGACGGGTCTCCGTACGGGTGCCTTAACTCTGCTGCTGAAAATTTATCCCCGAGTTTCAGAGGGCTTCCTGATTTGATAATGCCCATGTAAATTTGTGAATTCCCGACCTAGTAATCATCACCACAGTTGAGAATCGGTACACCTGCCCAAATTGCAAACCAAGAGTGAAATAAACACTGCCTGTTCTGGGGTGGAAAAGCATTACCGTGCAATTCCAATAACCCTGCACCCTAAAGTAAGGCTAAATCATTTGTAATTCCTCAAGTTCTCTTTGAGCGTGCGCAGAGAAACGTCAAATTGTTTCACACCGGAGCTTCCTCTTGTGCTCTTGTCTTCTTGCCTAGGCAGAGACACTTTCAGCCTGCCACATCCTGATTTCCGCAAGCTGCAACTGTTTTTTTTGCCGGTGTCTTTGGCACTGTGCCGGCAGGCAGCCGCAAAACTCGGTTGGCTCACACTTGATATGAGCGCCATAAATCTTTTAGATGCTGAAGGAGGTATCTCCACCTCGAGGATGCTTTCGTTTAGAAGCCAGGGGTGTTGGCTGGATCCACACCTGGGGATGGTAGAGATTGCTGCAGCTGACACGGGACTTGCTGATAGCTACCAGTTGCTTGTTACGAGTATTGTTGACGTTGTGTCAGAAGCCTAACATGCTGGAAGCGTGCATCACAGCAGAAGTTGTGACCTCTACTGCAGACAGAAAGCCTTGCTCGCACCCAGCAGCATGCGGCGCGAACGGCATGCTTGCAAACCACGAGCAACCGGCAAACCCGCAAGCAAGCCATGTTTGTTGACGCGGATTTTAGACGCGAGCTTGATTAGATGCCTCATCCAGCCTTCCTTGACGTTCCAAGTTTACGGTTACCCTTACCTTCCACAGCACAAGATCCTCGTCGGTGTGTCGCAAACTTCCTTGTCCTTGGTAGGAGGGCCCTCTGTCGCGGTACGGAAATGCTTTATGTTCTCGTCGTGGTTGCCGCGACCCCTCGAAACTCTGCTTATCCTACAGGAAGGTGCAACGCTTCCTTGGGTGCAGCGTGTCTCTTTGGACGCTGTATTGATCTGTGCTTGCGCTGTCCTGTGTCCAAGCGAGGCAGCCAAACCATTTTTCGTTGAAGTTAAGTAGGTCAATGATTCATTAGGTGTCACCAAGCAGGGTCCATGTCTAAATGATCCATCAACACATTCGTCATACAGAGACCGTCTGAGCTTAGCGGGTAACTTTGATCGTTGTCACATGTCACTGTCAAGGTGGCAGAAATGCGGGACCGGGAGCTGAAAGACACACCTTGGGAGGTGCTTTGCTTTGCGTTGATGTCTAGACAGCCCGAGCACGTACCTGCAACTGCACGAAGCTGAGACTGCTCGACTATTCAGCTGCCTGCAGGATGCGCCAGTCCTCTCAGCAAGTTATGATGATGTGGTATCGATAGTTGACCTGGTCAAGAGCCTGAGCTGCACGAACTTCGGGAGTTTGTAAAGAGATGGCATTCTGCCAGTCAGGAGTGCACATGTCGTCGTCAATGTGGCTGGCCCGTACATGTTGGCAGAGGGCGAGGCCAATCTGGGAAGAGTGTGCTGTGGGACACACAGCCTTCAAGCAAGCTGGGACAGGTCTTGGTGGATGCGTGCATCTGGTGCAAAGCTCACTATGTGGACGTCAGCATGGAGGCAATCCCGAACAAATGCCATTCCACTGCGGAAGTTTCACCTACTGAGCCAAGGTTCCTTGGAGTCTCCGTGTGAAGGACGCGGTTGCTGGCTGCAACTTCATTGTTTTCTCATGCAACCCTAGCCGCCGTAGCCAGGAGCTCCACCGGTATGCCCGAGATGTTTGCTCCTGAGCTCACTCACGGCCTGTTGCTGGGTGCTTGCGGCGGGCTTCATGGGCACTTCGTGAGCTTCTGATTCCTTTCCAAGGCAGGTGTGACGGTTGTTCCTTCGTGCTGCGGCAGTGCATATCCCGACCTTGGCGTGTACATGCTGGCCAAGCACTTCAAGGACTGCCTGGACTGCGTAGGGAACTTTCTTTTTTGAGGTTCCTTCGTGCTACCTTGGGCCTGCTCCTTGTCATGCACCACATTTGCAATGGATCTGCATGCTGCGCTTGTCATCACAGTATTTGCAATGGAAGGGTAGAGAAGGGTAATTAGTCTGTTAGCCACAATGCCAACGAAATCCCTTTTCTAGGAGACCGTCGGGCAGGCAGTGCGAAGCAGTGCGACTCTCAGTGGATCCCAGTACACCTGGTGAACGCCTTGAGGCCACTCGATCTGCAGTGTGCTACTGCGGAGGCACTTGCTTAGACTTTGTACCAGCATGTGATCCCAATGGTAGTTCCAGGAGGCGGACACGTGGCTGGCGTGTCTGCTGGGACTTTGAAAACACGAGCAGCGTTGAGTGCAGCTTCAGATGGTACGATGGGAGCAGAGGCGGATCGCAAACAAGTCTGCGCGTGATGCTTCTTGTTGTGGTTGTTGTTGTTGTTGTTGTTGTTGCACTTCATGACTGTATGACAGACTTTCAGCTGTGCAGGTGGCAAGCGCCATGCTGGATCCGTTTTCGCAACGCGGCTGCAGCTCGTGTAGACTACATTGCGCAAGACTTACTTAGTATTGTCCCAGATTGATTTTGATCGAGCTCAGGATGGGCGGCTTCATTCCACAATTTGACCGTAATGGCGTTGCTTCAGCTGCATCATTATGAGAGGCTCTTGTTGGCACATGCCGCAGAATCACGTGCATCAAGCTCTCATCAGGTTAAACAAGTGGACATCCAGATGGGCACAGGGCTTGTCACTCCCAAGCCACGCCTTGAAGACCAGGAGACTTGCGTATGCCATTTGAAGACTGCTGCTCACGTTTGTGGGAGTCTTGCTGCACTTGAGGAAGTCCTGTGATCAGGACAGTCAGATGGCCCAGATTTCAGAGGACAAGAAACTCGGAGTTTGGAGAGCTCCCTATGTCAACTCCTTCTTCGACACGCGGCTGGTGCGGCGGTCCAACATGCTGCAGGCAGACCTGGCGCTGCTCGGACTGAAACCATTGGAGCCATTTAGATTTAGATTGCAGGGCGCTGCCTTTCAGCCTTCAAGGAATGAGCCATATGGCCTCACGTTCAACTTCACAGAATTTGCAATGCTGCCTCCAGAGCGCGTCGCACATCTCAAGGCAGGAATTTTGTCATGCGAGAGCTTGCTTTCGCTCTGAGTTGGAAGCGGCACTCAGCAGGCAGCGCCGGATGGCCAGGACTGTGTGCCGTCCTTCCCGCAGCACTCTCAGCGGTCACGCATGTCTCCGCAAGGCTTTGGCACCCTTCGGTCAGTACGGAATCACTCTGGATGAAGAGCTGCGTGTTCTGAAGATAGAGGGCAAGGATGGGAAGATGGGGTCATCATGCCATGGGGCCATTAATCAGAGCCTTAACGTCAAAGCTTGCAGGCCTACCATCAAGTGGATGGGCCACCGGTGGAGGATCAATGACTTGCTGCCTGCCACAACCCCTGTAGCTGCAAATACCTCCCGGAGGACATGAGCGCATGGACCGGCTATTTCTTGTATGCCGAATCCGTAGATGGCCGCCAGGCCGGTCTACTTTTCCTGTTGCTGGCTTCAATACTCCGAATGTGCTCCGAAGGAGAAGTGCAGTATCATTGCTGCCGATGGCTACTTCGAGTCAGCTCGGGTGGCTGCTGCTGGGTTGCAGCGTGAGGTTTGAAGTTTTTAGTGCTCTACGTGGCTGCGCAGAGCTCAGAGTTGAGGTGGAGACCGCGTTGACCTTGCGCTTCGACTACGACAGGCCGCATGGATTGGGGGCAGATCAGGTGATCTGGGGGAGGAGGATACGTCCAGTCCTTTGCTGCAAATGCGAGAACAAGGGGGCGGTTCAAGGCAAATTTACTGGCTCTGGGTCGCCTGTGATCAAGCATCCAGCGCATTGGAGCAGACTGTCACCGATCATACCTAGAGAGAATTTTCTGAGCATTTGCTGTACCAATCGGATGGGCTATCCGGCTATCCCGAGCATGCTTTGCCGCAACGGATTGTGCTCCTGGGAAGTCCACACTCTCCACGCTCTCAAAGGGGTCCGACCAATGCCGCCCGGTATCCGGAACTGCCTGGTCTGCAATCTGGCCTGAGGCTCCAGCACTCAGGAGGGGTGTTGACACCCAGCGTTGCGGGTCTGCGGCTGAGAATCAGAGAATCAGAGCCTTGTCGCCCAGCGGCACTGAAGACGGATGCAGAGCATTGCAGACCGAGGTGGTAGCTGCCTCTTGGAGCGACTCCTCGCCAGTGGCGTGAAGTTCAAGATGGGAGGTGTGGAGATGTATGGAGATACCTGCTACGATCTGCTACGTACGCTTTGCCTGCTGTCGTCTTGTGAGGCTGGTTCGAATCCTCTGAGTGGGCTTCTCCAGATTTAGGTCATCCTGTTGTAGCGTGATCGCGCATCTTCTCGACTTATGTGTGCAAAGTGTGCGCTTCAAGCTTGTGTAAAGCGTAAAGGCTTTTGGCATTGTTGTGACGAGATGGCTGCGGTGTGCCTGCAGCACGAATTCACGAAGGAGCTGCATGCTCGCAGAAGGAGGCTTCTGTTGCCGGGCACGCGGCACGTCTGCATGCAAGCGCTAGATGTTCCAGACTTTAACAGTCACGTCCCTCTTGCTTAGGCTAGCCGCGACCAATTCGTTGGCGCTTTGCACGTGGAGGCCCGAAATGAAAAGCTGCTGTACATGGCAAATGATGCTGCCAGACCTTCAATTTCTAGTCTTATACAAAGCATCATGAGATCTGTGTCCGGTTTCCGCACGAAATGCATGTTCCGTTTCCGGACCTTCTCCAAGAGATTGGATGGTTCGATGGTGCAGGGGTTCGAGGCCAAGTCCACTTGTCGGATCTGACGGGTTGGTCACTCGGGGAAGGCTCCTCGTATGAGATGGTTGGGAAGGTACTCAGTGAAGGGCAGGCCGCCTGGACGGCCTCACCGGGTCGAACTTGGAGAGTCAACATGACTCCTTGTTACAAAGGCAGTCGGAAATTACCACCAAAGACTGCGCAGCCCGGGTTTTGGTGGGTTGGGCAGCACGCTCTTTCAGTGTTTACGAGCAGCACCCAAGACAACGAGGCCTGGGGCTCAGCTCTACAAGGATTGCAGCGGCAGAGCTGACTTGCGCCTTGACGGTTCTCGTACCCATTTTGGATACATGCTAGAGCTGCTAGAGCGCAGTCGCCCGAGTTCTTGTCCAAGTCGCCGTTTCCCTTCGCATGCAGACGTGATCGCTCGGGCATTATGATATTCCATGTTTTGCTGGTGGCAGAAGATTGACCGTCCCCAAATAACGTTGGCTACAATTTTTTATGCACAGGCACCACAAACTCAGGCCCAAACCTCGGAGTCTTCTCGTCCCAAAGAAGGTTTGTGGACTTCAATCGCATGACGTTGCAGCCAAACGAACATACCGAATCTAGTGAAGAACTTCGGTATTTGCAGCACAAATCTTTACAATCTCTAAAGATGCGCATTAGTGCGTTTGTGTGCGCAGTATCAATGCGTTTTGCAGTGTTCTAGATGACGCATCAGAGATTTCACATGTGCCATGTCGTTGAGGGTGTGTTCTTTCCACAGCAGGGCACGCATGAGCAGTGCCCCTGTGTGTGTGTGTGTGTGAAATGCACATTTTCATGGGGCCATGGTGTAGGTTGGGTACACGAACTGTGACAGAGAGAGCGTGCCAGAGGAGACTATGGTCGAGGATTTCCAGCGCTTTATCAGCGTTCTGAGACGCAACGGTTTCCACGAGGCCTGGTATCCAGATGCGAAATTTTTGAATTCCTGAAGCACTGGCATGGTAGGTTGAGCACCTCCTCACATCGAAGCAGGCTCAAGGTTTCCCAGGCGCTGCCTGCCTTTCCGAGGGGTGGCCAAAAGAGGAAGATCTTACATGGAGAAGAACACAGGTGGGCCACCGACGGAACTGACGGAACTAGTTGTTGACGGGCACAGTTTGTGGAACACTTGTGCCGAGGCATGGCAGTGCTTTTTCCGGATGTGCTTCCAAAGCTTTCTGAACCCATCCGCAGGTGTTGCAGGCGTATGAGAATCGTGGTGGGCGTTTGCAGCAAGCTCTGCTTGGTGAGAGAACTGAGGTCTCGAGTACAGTAGAATCTTCAAACTCTGGAAATGTTGCCTCATGCGCAGGACAGACGCAAGCGCGACGGTCGAGTTCATAGTTTGCTCCAGGAGAACTCCAAGCTGCAGGATCCAATTGCCCTTTGACGTTGCCCTACAGAAGAAACGAAAGGAACATGCATTCTCGGCACAGGAGGAGCTACATGCGGTGAAGAGGTCACAAAGAACATGCAGGACGCCAGACTGGGCTGTGGTGAGAATGCTGAAGGAGTTGGTCGACTGTTGAACGTGTGTCTGGCTCAAGCATAGCAGCACCTTGGACGTCGTGTTTCCACACGACTTCCTTTTCATATACATGTTCTGCCTTTCCAAGAGATGAGTGAGCCACCCAGTGGCTTTGGTTGCATGGCTACATTGACAAATTGCGTGAGATTGAGTGGGGTTTCGGTTTTGTGAGGTGCCATGCCGCAGTGGCTTGGCCTTCTTGGCCTACTCGTTCTGCCAGCAGTGGGCCTGGACACGGCTGCATTTGCAGTTTCCGCACATGGCGAGGCAGAGAATTTTGTGTCTCTTCTTCGATGTGGGTTCGTGAGCATGGTGCACGTTGGACAGGTGTCCTTGGTTCAGCGGCATGTAGCTCTAAGCCAGTCGGAGCCAGAGCTCGTGGCATACTACATCAACACAGATGCAGAGGACCTTGGTTGCGCAGGTAGCTTCTTCCCCGGATCGTCCGTTTTTGAAGCGCAGGAAAAGCGCCGGTCGCATATGGAGCAGCAGGCCAGCCTGATTGGCTAAGTATAAGTCCAGACTTTTGGCTAAGGCTGCTTTTACATTCTAGTTTAGAGAAAAACCATTCACGTACAGCAGACTGAAATGCCAGGGAAGAACTGCAAAGATGCAATTGCACAGATTCAAGGTGGGGCTGCGAAGCTTGTAGTGGAAACTCGACATGGAAGCAGACGAACGATCGTGAACGTTTAGGCCATTGACCGGATGCGAATAAGCTCTGGCGAGTTCTGCCCTTACCGGTTGAGATTTTGCGGTCCATCGAGGCACTTGCCGACTGCCATGCTTGCTCGCAAGGTTTGATGACAAGTACGTCAAGAGACAGCAGCTGGCCAGCGAACTCTTGGATACAAAGCGAACGCAGGACACTGCCAGAGTACTGCTAGCCAGCTGCAGTCGGTCTCTGCATTCTGTCGCAGCTGCCCCTGCAGGACCATGTTCCCAACGCAACTGTTGCCGGCGACTTTGAGCGATCCGCGCTGACACACTTGCATTTAAAGTGTGAAAGTCAGACAGCAACAAGTCGGGCTTGACGGGTGATTCCTTGCTGAACTCTCCAGGTCATTGAGGGTTCCGGTTCAGATTGTTAGTGTCTTGGGTCCGGATTGTTGGCTTTTCACATGGTTGCGGGGCCGGGTGAAGCAATCATTTTGGCAACAAGCCTGCACCAGCGGCGTTGGAATCTCTGCTACTTGGGCTAGTGGTGACAGATGGTGACAGGCCAAGGACATTGGAAATTGTTGATTTCTGAGGCTTGCTATGTAAGCCACTCGGAACTGCTGGAGATGCTTCATAGGCGCCGTGCATGACAGCTAATATGAGTCTCGACGATGGAGTGTGTGGAGCGTGTCCGCTTGCACTTCCCAGCTTCCGTAGGGATCTGGAGCCAGACCAGATTGCAATTGTCCGGAGCACAGGGCAGGTCTGCGTCAGATCATGCTCATTTGCATTGCCTCGCTTTCCAGGTCCTTGAAGACGACGTTGAGATACCGAAGCGGCCTCATGCTGGGCTAGTTGGTGCACAGCCGTGGAAGACAAACACCTAGGCGCAACTGGCGAGCCCTCATCGCGAAGACTCTTGAATGTGCCCCTAGTGACTGGGCACTGCTGAAGGCGCAACTGCCAGAGCTTACGATGCTGGGAAAGGACATCAGCAAACTGCCTTGCAGGTGTCAGGATGGGGATATAACCGCGCGGCAGATCTTCAGCTAAAGCAAGGCAATGCTTGCATTAACGACCCTGGGTGATGTGGGGCAGGCTGATGTATTGTACTTGGCAGGAGATCGTGGTGACATAATGAACTCCAGCTTTGGGTTGATGTCCTGGCTTCAAAGCTGGGGGCTGAGGCTGAGAGAAAGTTCATTTCGGCCGGGAAGTCATGGAAGCAAGACACGCGCGAGGGAACAGAAACTGCCTTCTTGACCTCACAGGGTAAGAGTGGTTTTACTGTAGTAAAGGGGCAGCAAGCCAACATATTCAAGTGGCTGCAAGTACTCAAGTGGCTGCAAGTCGATGAGCTGCGTCTTGGAAATTCGAGTTGCGCTGTCTCAGCAGGCATCAGCTGTGACTTTCACGACGTTGACTTTCTCCTGTTTTTCTCTTGGTGCTTTGCTCCATCGATTCCGGAAGAGGCTCAAAAAGCAACGAACATGTTCCGTGGTTCTCCAGCCTTCTGATATCTTGGTGATCCAGGGTCGAAATCTTATTCCGACATTCATGTCTGCCTCTAAGATAGCACATATGCGATGAGGGTGACTTCAGCTGTCTTTAGCTTTTCCCGCCTTCCCCAAACCATTTGGGACGATCACAAGAATGTAGTGATTTGCTGAGGTGTTGGCTTTGCATGCCTCGCTTTAGAATGGCTTTGGCAACTTGAAAGTTGCTGAGCAGAACGGGTTCCACCAAAACCAAGACAAGTGTAGCCACGCAGGCGGAGACATTGAGGCTTTAACGCCACCAGGCCGCCCATTTTTCGTAGGCAAACTGTGTGGAACACGCTGCTGCAAACCATTCATGCCTTTACAGCCTTTGAAGACGCTGCAAAACAAGGGCTGGAGAGAGATGCTCCACGGCTTGGGGGTCCAAAGGCAAAGCATCATGAGCATCCACGCCAACATGTTGGCACATGCAGCGGCCCTGGATACCCACAAAGGCGGGGGAGCGTAACTCGAATAATGCTGATAAATCCTCTGCTCAATAACACGTCATCTTCCCTCGTCCAGCCGGCGATCAAAGCGATCAAAGTCTGTGTGCACACATCACGGACAGGAACCTTTACTCATCTTTACTTTGGCGGTCGTGGGTACGTTTGGGAACGAAGCACGAGTCAGGAAAAAGAGGCGCGAGTCGGGAAAAAGAAGGGCACGAGTCAGGAAAAAGAAA